AAAGACAGAGAGGTCTCTAGGGAATGGTGACAATTTCCTGCGTGGTTCCTACTTCTACTGCAGTATCTGGGAGCTTGGCCTGTGATGTAAGACCTCTTAGAAGATGGGTGCTTTCCTTGCAAGAGGGTCCCAACCGGTGGTATCTGAGGGCCCCTAGGTGGGAAGGGAAACCCCTCTGACCTTGGCAATTTGGTCGAACTTGCCAAAGAGCTCGTTGAGCATAAGCACCAGCTCTTTAGGGGAGCACTCGCTGGCCAGCCGCGTGAAGCCCACGATGTCAGCATACAGCACGCTGCATAGGGCAGAGCGTGTTAACGGGGCCAGGCTGCAGCTCAGGGTCCCTACCCTAACGGGGCCAGGCTGCAGCTCCTGTTCCCTCCCCTAAAGGGGCCAGTGCTGCAGTTCAGGGTCCCCCCCCCACACCAAAGAGGCCAGGGCAGCAGCTCAGGGTCCCTCCCCTAATGGGGCCCGGGCTGCAGCTCAGGGTCCCTCCCCTAATGGGGCCGGACTGCAGCTCCGGGTCCCTCCCCTAATGGGGCCCGGGCTGCAGCTCCGGGTCCCTCCCCTAACGGGGCCAGGGCTGCAGCTCAGGGTCCCCGTGTCGTCGTGGTCGTTGTGTCCCATCCCCGTCCCGCCCCCACCCCGGGGGGGGGCGTGTCGTCGGCGCCCCCCCCCCCCCCCCGCTTCCTTTCTCCTACCTCACTCCTTGGTGCCTCTTGACATACAGGCTGTGGAAGTTGTTCTCTGGCCGTGACACTTGCACCGCCTGCAGCCGGGCCATGATCTCCGCTTTCATCTCTTGGGCCAGGTAGGCAGGAAGGATGGACAAAAGGAGGTGCTCCTGGAGAAAGTCCCTACGATGACACCCCTTCTACCCTCCTGTGCCCTGTAACCGAGAGCCTCAGCCCTTCCAATTACTCAGGCTTCCACACATTGCATCTACTCACAAGTATGATCCCCAACATTTCCAGTTCATCTAGCAGGACTCCTGTATCCCATTCTGTCTTGGTCACTTAGGGGCTGAACTCAGTATCAACACTTAAACTTGAAAACTTGAAGTCTTCCTTTAATAACTTTTATCATCATCATTATCCTTATTTATTATGATTATTTTGAGACAGAATCTTACTGTGTCGCCCTGTCTGGCCTGGAACTCACTATCTAAACCAGAGTGGCCTCAGACTCACAGATATAGGTCTGCCTTAGCCTCCCAAGAGCAGGGATGAAAGGTGTGTGCCACCAGCCACCAAACCTGGCTAAAATTTAATTTTACTATTATTGCACAATGCATGTGTATGTGGGCGCATGGGCCACAGTGTATGGGTGGAGGACAGAAGACAGCTTAGTGGAGACAGTTATCTCCATTCACCTTTACGCAGGCTCCAGGAATTGAACTCATGGCTTGTGCAGCAAGAGTCTTACCTCTCAGCTGTCTCACTGGGCTTCAATTTGAACCTAGCAATAATCTTCCAGGGGCGAGTGATAGTCACATTTCATACAAAAGAGGAAATACTTGAGAAAGGCAAACAAATTACCCAAACCCATTCCCTAGGAAGGTGCTAGAAAACTGTTCTCTCTGAGCTGCGTCCTCTTCCCTCCCTTAGGCCCTCCTGACCTGATGCTTTTTCTCAGTGTCCAGCCTCCGGCGTGAGTGCAGAGAGCTGAGAGCCTCCCGGAACGTGGCCCGCAGTGCTCGCTCCATCAGGGCCTTGTGGTATGCTCCCACCACGTTCCCACACAGGAACAACACGGCGTTCGCCGCCAACTGTGGGTAAAGGCCAGACTTGGAGAGTACACCACCCACTGGGGCTTGGAAGTTTATCTGTATAGTTCAAGTGAGTTCCAAGAATAGGATGAAAAGAGCCCGGCTCCACAGTGAGGGACCTAAGTATCTCCGGACGATTGGTCCCGCCCTACGACATCCATGGGGGAGAGCTGGTGCCTTTCCTCCTCTATGCGCTCTGCTGTAGACACTTGGCTGCTGGGCTAACCTGGTCACTCGGGTCTAGATGTCTTGCTTGTGTATTTCCTCTCTGAGAATACTGTTCTACCACGTTCATCTCCTGAGCCCATTCCACCTGCAAGACACTACTCAAGTTCTGATGGCATGCTCCACTTTTTCCTTCTGTGCCTGTGGGAGAATCACGACTGATTTCCCCATGACTATAGAGCCCTCTTCTGGTAAAAGCGGCACGGTGCACCCATCTACCAGCTGCAAGAGGAGGAGTTTTATCTGTGTTGGATTCCGCACTCAAGCTTGAGTCCTGCCTTGGGGTCCCCGCTCAGCAAATGCTCAGAGGATTTTTGTCAGGCAGTGGAGCCAGCTGTAGACCATTACCTGCACTCTTGCTTTTTTTTTTTTTTTCGAGACAGGGTTTCTCTATGTAACTATCCTGGCTATCCTGGAACTCGCTTTGTGGATCAGGCTGCCTCTGCCCAGTGCAGGGATTAAAGGCGTAGGTCACCACCCAGTTACTGTTGCATTTTTACCTGTGGCAGCAGAGCCCTCTGTGAGTCAGGTTGCCACCCAAGGTACAGTCCAAGGACCAGCAGATGTGAGAGTGATGAGGTGAGGCCTGCAACAGCCGCATCCCGCATGCCCAAGGGCAACATAGCATACACGGTGAAGATGAGGAAGAGGAAAAACGACACCTGGAGAAGGGTGTGGGAAGCCAAAGGCCTGGGTTTCACCGCACAGGGCCTGAGTTTGGGGTTCCTATTCCCCTGCTTCTTAACTGTGATTCTCCTCACCTGGTCCCAGGCGCTCACCACACCCCCGGTGAACAGGAACCCGTGGCCTAGCGCCAGCAGCGCAGCCCATATGAGGCCAGAAAGAGGTCGTGTCCAGCGCTGCAGTTGCTGCTCCCGGGAAGCCAGCCCCAAGAGCAGAGAGAAGCCACCCAAACCACACAGCACGGTTGTCAGGAAGCTTGGGTCTGAGGTCAGCTCCTGTGGATAAAGGATGTATGAAGCAAGACTGGGGAAGGATGGCTTTGGAATCGTCACAAGGTGAGAGGCAGCAAGTTAGATGCCCTTCAGATCAGTTCTGTAAAGGGTCTTAAACACACGCACAAAAAGAAAATAGGGCCCGTGCGACGGCACCGAGGGTAAGGGGCTTGCCACCAAGCCCGATGATCTAGTTCAATTCTTAGACTCCATGAGGCGAGAGAAGAGAATTCACTCCTTCGAGTTGTCCTTTGACCTACATACGTGTGTATTCATGTACACACACGAACACCCCCCCCCCCCCAACAACACTCACATACAGCTAAAGAAATGAAAGAAAGCAACAGGGCCAGACTGCTTGTGTTTTCACATTAGATTGAACCATAAGATATTGCTGAAACCCTCCTGGTTTTACCCATGAAGCCCAGCAGTCTCACATGGTAGTGGCTCCTACCCTTTTTCTAAATCTCAGTTGTTGTTGTTGTTGTTGTTGTTGTTGTTGTTTTGATTGTTTGCTCTTTCAGGTTTGAGGCAGGATCTCAAGTAGGTTGGACTGGCCTCCAACTCTTGGTGCTGTGATTCCAGACTTGCTTGGCCATTCCCACAGGTCTTGCCGTTTAAAGGGGAAACTGTAGCCTGTGCTTGGCATTCGGAGTGAATATCACCCAAATGGCTAATTTGCTCAGGAGAATCCTCCTTCCTGAAGCCATGCTCGAACTTCACAAATGTTTACCTAGGCAGCCCAAGTTTCTACAACTCCTTGCCACCCTAGCGCTGAGATCTGAACACCTGCTTTTCCTCTAACCCAGAAGTCCCATCACGGTCCCTATCCTTTATTCCCACCTTTTCCTGAGTTTGGGGTAACAAGGATTAACAAAGTTCAGTCCTTTTTCCCACCTTGGCTCCGAAGAGTGAAAGGAAAACCGGGAGCAGATTATTTCAGTTTTGGGATTGAAAACCCCCTTCCTGCCCAATATGAAAGTGGAAAAAAGAATTTTGGTGGAGAGAGGAGGGTAACTAAGCCACATCGGATGAAAACTGCCTCTTGGAAGTCTGTGGGTACAGCTAACAGCCCCACATTCCCAAACCTGGAGAGAAAAAGTCAGGAAATGAATTCCCCTAGGGATGTGAGTAGAGTTTCCTCTCTGGAAAACTGGAAAATCCGGTGTTGGATTTACCGCAGAACAAGTAGAACAGTGAGATGCATCCGGGACACATTTACCTCCCAGGATAGACCCAGGGAGCAAACCTAGAGGGAGGAGGATTTGGTCACATGTGCCCAGAGTCACCACAGTTCATGATGGTTCAATGCTTCTTTTCCGGTTCCCAGCAAGGACATTATTAACTAAAAGACCCCGCAAATCCCAGTCCTTCAAATAGTCCCAGTCAGAGGCCAGCACCCCCCCTCCCCCAGAGCAGGCTCCCGCACCTAGCCCATCTCACCCTGCCACTGGCCCAGGCGACGGCTGGCAGTGCCACGAGCGTGCAGAGCACGATGACCAGAAGCAATAGTAGCAGTGGGTACTGTTGGCTCAGGCTGTAGTAGGTCTCGTAGAAGAGATCTTCGCTGGGAGGCGGCCGGGGACTGAAGAGGCGGGCCATGGTCTCCCCCGCCCTAGCCCGGAGCCCCTGCCCTGGGAACCGAGTTAATAAACCCCACTGCGCTTTTCTTCCTCTCCCGGAGCCACTCTGGCTCAAGCCCCTTTTCGAAGCAATGGGAATTCCTGCCAGGTCTCCCTCAAAGGGCTCCAGCTAAATGTGACAGGGCTACTTGATTCTTCCCACAAACCAGCAAAAATCTCACTGGAGGGACAGGAGTTGAACCTAACGAGGAGGGGCCCCAGAATCTCCCTCTACCCATTAACTCACTGCTCTGTGTCAAAGCTCCTGAAGCTCTCTCAGCAAAGCTAGGTCCCGGGAGGGAGCCTGGGTGGGTGGGCTGGCTGCTGTTCACTAGTGTGAGCGGCTTGCTAGTGGCTCAGGGCCGAGGGTGACTGGCACTTCCCGCTTGGCGCCAAGGCCCCCTCCCACTTCCCCACGACACAGTCCGGCCCCTTCCCGTGCTGAGCGGACTCCCCTGGCTGCCTCCTGTGCTCAGATTGTGTTTTCTAATCACCATCTTCCCCCTTTCTTCATGTGGGAGACACACGAGGTAATGGAGAGGTTTAAGAGGGATGTGTCAAGATAAAGATACAGGATTTGGAAATGGGGAGGCTGGAAAGTGATGCCCGGGAGAACGCTGGGAGGAGTGCTGTCCTGGTACCAGCTGGGGCTGGGGTGTGGGTGAGGACAGAAAGGGCATTTTCTTTCCACTTTTGATCCCGCAGGTGTGTCGAAGTGTGAACTCTCCAAACTCCAGCCTTCTCTATAGCTCCTTGGGTTGGTGGGTTGGTGCTCCTCTTCGTTGGACATAGTTATCAACCCTTGGACTTAGAGAATCAACAATGCTCCCATACCTAGAAAGCAAGGTGCATGAAGTCGGTGCAGTGGGAGTCTGGATGGTCTAGAGAGCCTGGGGCACCTTTGAATTTCCAAAGACCCTCCTTCACCAGGGCCCCAAGCCCAGTGCTCAAAATCAAGGAGCAAAGGGGAGTGCTGACTTCTATTCTGTCAGCTCAGCCTTAGGGTAGCGCCAGTACCGAGCTCTGGAGGAAGAGCTCCACCCTGAGATTGGCGCGCCAGAGAGCCAAGGCTCTGCAACTCCTTCCTGCCACCGGCTGGGCCCTGACCTCATATGCCAAGAGGTTGCCTATAACTAGTCCCCAGAGCCCCCCTTCCTGCTTCGGCCAGGCAGCAGCCCCATCTCCTCTTCCCTCCCCCACCTCAGACTCACTCGTAGTTAACATATTGTGTTTATTGACTTTTGGGAAATAGGTCAAAAATGGGTTTGGGTGTAGGTCCAAATGCTCTCAAAGAATGTTGGGGGGGCACAGAAAGTGGCAATGATCGTCTTAGTCGTTCCGGGATCCTTACAAAGTGCTTTGATTCCCTCTATACTGGCTTCAGGCTCTTGCGGGTATTCTCTGAAATCTACTCATGGAGGGGCTGCCAGCCCCTGCCCCTGCCGCACTGGGCTGGGCTCTTCTTGGGTAAAGCAGTTCTTGGTTGCGCTGGTAAGCAGCTGCCTGCCATGTAGTTGTTGTTTCCAATCTGCACTCTACAACAGTTCTCGAGGATGACTTGAGGTAAGTTCTGTGGTCCTTTGAAAGAAAGGGAGGTGGTGGTGGGAGGGTTCAGTGGTTAGAAAGAAGCGATTAACAAGCACTGTGGGGAGAGGGGCAGCGACACCTTGTGTTCGTCCTGGGGAGTGCAAATGCAGGGTCTTAGCCTGCTAGTGACTGTGATGAGCTGGGCCTCTCCAGAGTTAGAAAAAGCTGAAGAGGAATAGCGCCTGCTGTTTGGGTGTCTTTGATGGAAGACCCTCTGGATTGCCTTAGCAATAAAGAAACTGTGAAGGCGCATGGATCTGGTGTTGGAGACAGACAGCAGACCCCAGGGCAAAACCAGGTTATGTGTGACTTCAGTGGGATCTTCACCCAATGAATGTCAGGTTCCTCATGCATTAAATGAGAAAGATTGGGTTGGATGATCTCTAGTCCTTTCTTCCCCCCTCCGAGGTAACTCGTCTCTATCCATAGGTGTTGGGGAAGAAGGTGATGGGAAAGCTGATCAGGGGGAGAGCAATAGAGGTTGAAGAATGGGTACCTTGTGTTGGATCTGGCCCTGGAGCCCAGGAGGTACCTTGTCTTTCATCTCCCTGCAAATAGCACAGAGTTCTCAGACTTTCTATTCAAGGGGATAGTTCCATCACTGTGGACACCTCAACCCCAGCTTTTCCCTGGTAAGGAGGCATACTGCCAATGTCTCACCTGTTTCCTTTGGGGGTGAGGACCGGGAACCTCAGGGAAGTTTGGGCTGGGTGTTGGGCCTCTGAAGGGTAAAGTGTGTGGCATTTGGGGAGTCCCAGCCCCCGCACCCAAAGATGTGGCTGCTGTTGTGGCACACCCAATTGGTTCGTGCTGTTCTCTTCTCTCCGGAAGGCTTATGCCTTTTTCGGGAACTGGTCTGGAGCCCCCCTCCAGATGCAGGTTGTTCAGCATGTCAGAAACTGAGCTTTTCCTAGGGCCTGGACCTCTCTGGCCTGGCACTAGAGCAGCCAAGGTTCTGCTGCTGTTTCTGTGCTGAGACAGATGCTGCTTCACCTGCACAGACAGGAGTTGGGGAGCCAGAGTAAGTACCAGGGATTATCTGCTGAGTCGGTTACCTGGAGACTCAGGGGTAGGTTGGGGTGGGCGGGGATGATGGTCAAGGATTAAAGAATGGTGACCAGCGAAGATACATCAGATAGTCAAAGGGGTCACATGTGCCGTTCCTGAATAGCTCCTGGGTGGGAAGGCGGTTTTGGAAACATACCTCGGAGACAGCAGCATCTACCTTGTCCTGTACCAGGAGGGAGGTATCACATGTTTTGGGTCGGCAATCTGAAAGACGTCAGAGTGAGTTGCATGCGAGCAGGACAAGCTTCCTGATCCTAGTTGCTAGAGAAACCCCCAGCTCACCCTGGAAGGTTGGCCTGTCCTTGGGCTCAGAACTCCAGCAGCGCACCATTAACTCCTTCAGCACTTCCAAGCCAGGAGTCTCAGGGCTGGGGGGAGGCAGCTCTGTCAACGGGGGTCGATTCTGCCTTTCACAAACTGCGTCATGAACTAGTGATGTTTGGTCTACCACTGGAGTGGGGGTGATAACAATAGGAATCCATGATATGAGGGCACACACCATGGACAGAAGCCGGGAGTGTCAGCCCAGGGAGAGGTAGAGTAGGAAGAGGGAAGCTGAGTAGGTAAGGGTGAAAGGCAGGGCTCGGGGGTTTTAAGTGCTTCTGGCACCTGGGGTAAGAGTCTTAGAGTCTCTCTAGAGTCTTACACTCAACTTCTCTTCCAGCCAGCACAGCCCACGTGAGAATCCCAAAGCTGCATAGACACAAAATGGAGGCTTAGCCAACCCCTGGGAAGACCACTTTCCCAGGCTATATCCTTTAGAAGGGCCCAATAGCATAGAAATTTGGGATGTTTTGAACTGGATAGCTTACCTGTAGATGTCACTGGCTGGGGAAGCGGTCCGGTTGACATTAACCAATAGCTCTGGGGCCAAGTAAGCTAGGGTACCCCCTGAATCCCTGGACCCTGATCCTGACTGTGACCCTCCCTGAAAGGTGGACAGGCCAAAATCTGCTAGCTGTAAGGGAAAGGAAGAGGGAGGTATTAGATGAAGGGGCCGACGTTCTTCAGAATTTTCCCCCTCTCTCCTCCAGAAGATGCAGCCTCAGTTTTTTGAAGGTGGTCTGGAGGACCAGAGGGAAAGGTGGAGTCAGTGAGACCTCAAGGAGGAGTTCTAAGATGCTGATGGGCAAGCCTGGGTCTAGGTGTGTCAGGATTTCTGGGATAAGTCAACCTGGGTCCATGGGGGTGGGGGGCTTTGTGGAATAGGCTTATGGAACTGATCCAGGTGGGTAAGAAGGGCCTCTGTCACCTGGTATGACTAGAGATAAAATTCCTGAGTGACCTGGGCAGTCTTGTATTTAGAGGGACAGGCAGAGGGTATTCAACACGGTTCCAAGCTTGCAGTAGGGTGTAGATGGGCTGACCTTGGCATGGAGCTCTGGGTCCAGCAGGACATTGGAAGGCTTGAGGTCCCGGTGTAGGAGCACTGGGTTCAAGCTGTGCAGGTAACACATCCCCAGCACCACTTCATGCAGCAGGCGACAGAGGAGCGGCCAGGGTCGAGGACACATGGGCTGCAGCAGCCCTGCGAGGGAGCCATTCTCCATGAATACTGTCACCAGAGCCGGCCCAGATAAGTAATCCCACTTGAGGTTCTCGGCGACCCCCAGCAGGAGCAGCACGTGCTTGTTACGCAGATTCACCATAGCTTTCACCTCCCTGGATATCGCCTTCCTACACTCCGAAAAAGAGTCACAGTTGGGTCGGACCCTGGAAGACCCCCTCACCCCTCCCCTTGCCCCTTCAGGCTCCTTGATCAGATCCTGCCTACAGCTGGGGTCACTCACGAGTTCACGATCTTGACTGCCACATCATGGCCCCAAGTTCTGTGTTGTGCCCGGTACACTGTACCAAATCCGCCTTCGCCCACAAACTCCGGGTTCTTCAGTTCATCACAGGATACAAGAGAGGCCGAGGCACCACAGCGCCTGAGAGAAGGTTCTCATCCAGTAGGGGAGCCCGCCTCCACGTCAGCATATTCTCCGTCTCCAGTTCCACGGCTGAGCGTGGGCAGCGTGTCAACCTCCCCCTGCGACCCACTCGGCCCCCAGCTTTGTCCCCTGCCTCAGCAAAGGCGCCCTCTGGGTGTGTCCCCGATATCCTGTGTGGCTGTGCCGGAGACTGAGGATCCACGGCACACTCCCTACTCACCATAACTTGGCAGAAGACATCAGGAGTTAGCGGCTTCCAGGAGTTATGTGCACAGAAAGCAGGAACGACGTCTACAGCTGGGGGTTTGAGAGGAAGACGGGGCCTGCAAAGGGAGTGATCTATTGGTCCAGGCACGGAGGTCCAGGCCCCGAATTCCACTTCTCACGCAACTTTGAATGAGTGACCGAATAACTTCCTTCTTAAAGGAGGTCCCGCCCCTTGGGGTGGAGCAAATGAAAACTGTTCATTTGGGCTGTTCATTTCTGTGCACCTGCCTCGAATCCACAGGAGTAATTGGGCATTGGGTGTGTCACAAGAAAGAAAGGAAGGAAGGAGGAAAGAAAGAAGAATCCTCACCACCCAGGAACGCACAATCGGCTCTGCACAACAGCCCAGTCTCTCTTGGAACTCTGTGTTCCCAGCTCCATCACCTGCCTAATTGGGTTGAAGGGAGAATGGAAATTTTATGGTCTTAGACTCAGCTCTTCTAAGATCATGGGTAATGCTTCTAATAAGGCTTGCCTCGGGTCAGGTACACATAACCCTCTTCCTTAATCTCGGATCAACCTTATTTACCTTTCTATAGACCAGGAAACACAAGCACTTACAGTTTAAGTACCTTGGGCAAGTAAGTATGGAAATAGTTTAGAACCTGGTTCTACTTTACCAAGATAGCCCATACTTATTTATTTAAAAATTTTTTTGACAGGTTCTCTCTCGTAGCCCTGGCTGGTCTAGAATTTGCTATATAGACCGGGCAGACTCAGACTTACAGAGGGCCATCTGCCTCTGCCTCTAGAGTAAGTTCTGGGATTAAAGGTGTGTGCCACCATGTTTGGCTTATTTATTTTTAAAATTTATTTCTGTGTGTGCACATCCATGTATGTGGGGGTGGGGTGCATGTAAT